GGGTGTGCATGTGCTCATCCTCCTTCACGAGATAAGAGGCAAGAGGAAAGGTGTTTTGTGTGTGCGGGTGTGCGGGTGGCTTTTCTTCCCTTTCGGCAGTGGCTCAAGTAATCATACGGCTGAAATAAAGCAAAAGGATCCATATTTTAAAAAGTAAAAGGCTAGATGGTGGAGGGGGATAAACTACAGGTGGGTTACAGGACTCTGGGCTGATTTGCATCTCCTGCTGCATTGTATGATCAGTGGACAAAAAAACATTGTAGCTATAATTTAAAAGGTGAACTGCCCACTTAAGAGTCTTCAAGCACTGGCCATTCACCTTTTTTTTCTTTCCTTTTTGAGAATCAGGGGGTTGGAGGCTAGAAAAAAATGGTCTGCACACAACTCCAGAATTGCATTTTACTGTACTTAGCCCGACCTATATGTATGGCATGCATCAGGATAATATATTTTTAAAAGTGTCTGCTCAAGATTACATATGAATTGACACCCAGAGAAGGACATGGCTTTGATTATGAGGTGTGGCCTTGTACAGTTGATTCCTCCCACCCCAAGCAATCTGACTAGCCAAGAAGACTAAGGGTCGGCTGAACTGAAATTGCTGGATCCAAACCCCTCCTAGCAGAATGAGATTGAAAATTATTACTATTAGGACTAACCTCATCATGGGTAATCTTGTACTGGCCTACTGGCTGTGTCCCAGGATGGATCTTGGCTTCTCTGTCAATCATAGTCCTTCCCTGCCCCACTTCTGGCTGAAAGATCTTAGCCAGCAGCACAGTTCAGCTGAAAGACTTCTGGCAGGAGAAGAGGCTTCTGTCTATTCCCATCTTTCTGCAAACAATGTTTCTTTGGGATATAATTGCACTGTTCGGTTGCAATACAATGCAACCTACCTAGGAACTAACTGAGTTCAACATATTTGGTTAATGTCTCAGTAAACCTGGACATTATTCTGCCCCTGTGTATTTGTTTACCTTTGGAAGTCCTTCAGAATTCTTTAGGATCTCCATGAAGCAGCGGTAGATTAAATCCCAGCAGCCTCTTGCATCTGGCTCAAACACAATTTTTGGATCCTCTACATCCAGCTTTATTACCAGTATTTGTGGTATAAAAAACTGTATTTCACTGTATGTTTCTCCAAAGTCATTACCATCCTCAAGACAAGGAAAGAACACTTGTTACGCATCACGTGCTGTTAATTGACACCCAACTTACAAAGACTCTAATACGTTTTTCAAGGTATGTGAAATATGTCAGGAGTGGTTTTACCAGTGCCGCCCCCACTGAGTTCCCAGAGCTGAGTGAAGATTTGAAGCTAGGTCTCCTGAGATCTAGTTTGACACTCTGTGCAGTACAGTGGAGTCTCGACTTACAAACGGCTCGACATACGAACGTTTCGAAGCCTCTTGCATCTGGCTCAAACACAATTTTTGGATCCTCTACATCCAGCTTTATTACCAGTATTTGTGGTATAAAAAACTGTATTTCACTGTATGTTTCTCCAAAGTCATTACCATCCTCAAGACAAGGAAAGAACACTTGTTATGCATCACGTGCTGTTAACTGGCACCCAATTTACAAAGACTCTAATACGATTTTCAAGGTATGTGAAATATTTCAGGGGTGGTTTTACCAGTGCCACCCCCACTGAGTTCCCATAGCTGAGTGAAGATTTGAAGCTAGATCTCCTGAGATCTAGTTTGACACTCTATGCAAGATACGGATTAAATGGTTTTCAATGCATTCCTATGGGAAATGCAGATTCGACTTAAGAACTTTTCGACCTGAGAACTGCCTTCCAATACGGATTAAGTTCGTAATTTGAGACCCCACTGTACACTACATATCTGGCAAATAAAGAAGATTCTCTTTCAGGAAATCATGGTCAGTCTCTCCTTCTCCCCCTAACTCTCCTTTCACACATACATCCACTCCTTCTATCTACACCGCCACTAGCATGCCTGGGTTGCTGTGAAGGGACTGACCTATTTAGCCAGATAGCTCAAAGAATTAGGCACCTGGCTGCAGAACTGGAAGTTGGGAGTTCAGTTCTCTACTGTGCCTCTCAGGGGATGAACTTATGTAGCCTTGGTTAAAGTAAATGTCCCAAATGGTTAAAGTGGCCCCAGAATAAGGGAATGCTAAACTGGATCATGAGGCATATGTTGCCCTTGGGCCATAGATGGCTACTTTTTATCCATGCCCACAAGTTCTTTGATTTTGCTATAGTTTCCAAAAAATATTTTGTCTGTTTATTTTGCCACTTGCATGTTGTCTCACAGGGGTGAATAAAACTGATTGATTATTTAATAATAATATACATGAACAATATACAAACAAGCTGCACAAATGTATAGAAATTTTATGTTTATATCATACTTCAAAACAAAGTGAAATGATCCACTCTACGTACCTGGTGTATCTTAAAAAAGGAAAGGAGGTCTTCTAATGAATTGATCACCATCTCCCGTAGCTGTAAGGACATGAGAACGGCCACAGAGGCAAAATACTCTTCTATCTGTTGAGAAGTATCCAGGTCATTCTGGGGAGCAAGATGAAGCCAGTTTTGCTTCTGTTCAATGAAGAGGTCTGCACACGTGGGAATCCATCTGCAATACGTAAGTTACCTTTGATTTGGTTATAATGTGCGCAAATGCCTCTGAACAATGTCGTAAAATCTGCCTTGGGAACCACGTAGTGGAAAGGTGATGTAAAAATAGACTTAAAGATAAGTGATTTCAAGCTATATTTGAATTAACCTTAGCAACCTAAATCAGTCAATGGAATTGGATTTAAGTAGTGCCCAATACTGTGCTGTAACTTTCTTGAAGCAGCGCTCAGAAAAGTTACTTTTTTAATTACAGTTCTCAGAATCTCTCAACCAGGATTTCCCAAGAACTGCCCTGTAGGTGACGAACCTCAGTCCTATGGAAAGGTTCTGGTGGTCCCTTCCTACTCTTCCTGTGTGCAGGGCCCCCTCAAGTTTTCAAAAGCCTCTGGTGCAATGTTATCCAGGAGTCCCTTTTATGAAATCTGTTCTCTGCCCCCCCATCTTGCAAGAGATGGCTGACTCCTACTCAAAACTCATGAATGTGGGGAAAGAGAAAGGTAACATCATGATGCGCCCCATTCCCTCTGGCCCTTCCATCACTCCATCTACTTCCAGCATGTGTCTCCTAACAATTTGCACCCAGATAATAGATACAGACCTGGCGTTCAACAACACCAGGCGTAGAGTATCAATTGCCTAGACTGCACATGACATATTATATAGCAATATCCATTTGATACTACTTTAGCTGTCATTTTTCCATCCTAAGGAACTCTGGAATTTGTAGTTTTGTGCTCAGAACACTCTTCTCTAGTGTATTACCCTGAATCACAATTCCCAATGTATCTCAGAAGAGATACTGAGCATTAGATCAATTTAATTCTGCCATGGGGACAGGCCTTGTGATTTAATAGGCAGCCAGGCCTTAATACGCTCCTATCCCCAGTAACGACCAGGGAGAGGTCTACTGTGCCACAATCTTCCCTCTTTTTCAATGCAACTGTGGTTTATGTACCACAGAGGATCATGTCAAGACAACAGTATTGGCAGTTGTGTTTGCATTTGACCTGGACAATCTTTACATCCGTCCTGACTGATCACAGCTCAGAACAATCCATCTGACTCACAATCTTAGCAAAAGCTGAGATTTCAGCAAAGGCTTGGGCAAATAAAGTTTTGAAGCCGTACAGAGATTTTTGCAGTCCTTTATAATCAAGTTCCTTGTACTTGATGTTGATGTTTATATTAAATATTTGTTTTCTTTCAAAAAAAATAAAGGACTGCTACAGTAATAACAATGTTTCTTTTAGCTGTGAAAATTGCTTTTAGGACTTTGTGGAGGCAATATTATGAATATTATAGTGGTTTTAGAATGCCCAGAGCACACACAGACTCAGGAGAACAAGTTTAAAGTGTCCATATATGAAATGGTTTGCTATGCCATTTGAATCAATATCACAAGGCTGCAGCAACCCACTCATATATTCATTTTTAATATTCAGAGCACACAAATCTCAAGTGTGAAAAAATTCAACACCCGCACTGAAGCACTGATGAATTCAGAAGGCCTAGCAAGCACACACGTACATCTGTTCTCCTATGATTCTAGCTTTTGACCAAACACATTGATCTAAAATAGATTTAAATATTTAAACTAAGACAGCAAAAGCAGGCACATAAGCAAAGGGATACAGAATGTTTCATTGTCAGTAGCTTCAATCTATGCTGCTCCAAAGCATTTGCTCTAAGGGCTTTGAAATGAAATGAGCTCAAAAAGGATTTGCTATGATCAAAGACAGGAAAGAATAGGTTTTATATAAATATATATATTTGCTTTTTCTCATTCTATTGTTTCCACATGGGCTCCTCTGTGGGCAGAACAACAACAGACTTCATCTGACAAATTGAAAGGTTTGTCACTGAGGAAACTTGGATTACAGTCCTGTCTCCCCTTCCCAGATGAGGCTTATTTCTGAGTAGCCATGGGTATTGTTGTAACATAAATTAATTAGACTAAAATTGAGATCTGACATTCTGCAGTGCAGACCTGGGGAGAAGACAGGTCAAGGCCTATCAGGCAACTGGGGGTGATTTATGGTAGATCAGGAAGGATTCCTGACACTGAATCACAGGTGACCTTACTATTAGTCATAGTGAGGTGACTGACTCACGTAGCACATTGCTATGGGCAGCACACTCTACAAGATCGCACCATGCCAGGGATCCAGCTGCATGACTTTCTCCAGAGCTGGGACATTCCCCATTGACCAATAACTGATTCTGTACAGACTGACAGCGGTAAGCTGTAAATCAAGAAGTCTGAATCTTCCAGAAGCTCAAAAGGTGGTCTCTTAACTTCATCTCCTCCATAATGCCGGAGCATACTAGCTCTAGCAGTTTCAGCAACCAAATCTAGGGTTCTTTCCTCACATCCTACACCTGAATGGGTCCCCTGAACAATAAACATAAATTTTCTATTTTTGCCTTATTACAAGTATTAATACCCATAAATTCAGCATAGCTTAGTGCATCCTGTTAGTGTATGTACTAATTTTTCTTAAAATCTGATAATATAATAAGACTTCCTTATAAGCAGGGTGCGTATCTGCTAATTCACTTATCCACGCCTGAATATATGAAAAACATTAAAAGAACAATCCTAGAAATATATATTTCTAAAACTGAAGGTAACAGAACTGGCCACTAGAGGGAGCTTGAGACCATGTTATGTATAGCGTTCGTGAGAGAAATATATTTCATTATGTTATAACCAGAACTGGCCACTACTATCTTTTTCAGCTTCTGCAGCAGCAGGGGGTTGGAAACGATCTCCCACTGATATGGGGATCCTACTGCAATTAATATTTTGTTAGAAACATTCTGACCTGTTTAGAAGAATATCATGAGCTTCCTGACATTGTTTTCGGATCAAATCTTCAAATTCATTGGGCAGTAATGGCAAATCATCAGTGAGGATTTCCTTGGTACGAATGAACCTCAGTTCACAAAACCTGTGTGTGTGTAGAATACACGGTTACAATAAATTCTAATTGTGTAATATGTTAGTAGCAGATAGTTCTAATGGGGTGGGTGAAAACACTGTTTCTCTCATATTTTGATAATGATTTATTGAAATTCGTAAATTCATTCACACATGAGATTGAAGCATTTTGAAATTTTTAAGAATGGTTAAGTGGGAGAAGCAAAACTGGCAGATTCATCCATGCTGACTTCTGGAAATACAGATATATTCATTTCTACTTACCAGTCCTTCAAGAAGCAGGAGGCTTTGGTCCTCCAGATGCTTTGAACTACAGCTCCCACAGTCCCCAGCAAATGTCATATGGGATTGGGCTTATAGGAGCTGATGTCCAAACATCTCATGAGAAACATCAGTGCAGCGTGTATTGCTCCCTCCTCCCCAAATTTTGTCCTCACAACAACTCTGTGCGAGAGCTTAAGTTAAAAAATGTATACAGTGGTGTCTCGCTTAACGGCGATAATGCGTTCTAGGAAAATCGCCGTTAAGCGAAAACATCGTAAAGCGAAAATAAAAAGCCCACGGAAACGCATTGAAAACCGTTCAATGCATTCCAATGGTCTTAAAACTCACCGTCAGCGAAGATCCTCCATACGGCGGCCATTTTTGCTGCCTGTATAGCGAGGAATCTGTCCCTAAACACAGCGGGGAGCCATTTTATTTACCCGGTGACCATTTTGAAACCGCCAATCAGCTGTTGAAAAATCATTGTTTTGCGAAAAATTGGTTCCCGAAGCAGGAAACCGATCATCGCAAAGTGAAATTCCCCCATTTAAACCATCGTTTTGCGATCGCAAAAAGATTGTCGTAAAGCAGATTCGACATAATGCGGGGCAATCGTAAAGCGAGGCACCACTGTATAATTGGTGCGAGTTGATCCAATGAGAAAACCAGAAGCATCTGAACTCAGCCTAATGATGACACGGTTATCAAGGTTACATCTGCTTAGGCCACCAACTACTACTTAGCATAAAATGTGTTACAGCCAGAGACATTATGGAGTATTTTTCAAAATGCTGAGAATACTTACTCTGCGAACCAGAGTTGTTGCAAAGTGAGCATCATGGGATTCACTATGAAGAGGTGTCTTTCATTCCAGCGTTTCACTTCTTGATAGACATTGTGCCATGGGACTGGGGCACGGATCACTCTTTGTGGGAAAAGCCTCGGGATGTTGTGTATAAAGAGCCTTTTTCTTTCATCTGGATCCATCAAGACATAATCAACTAGAATAAAACCATATGAAGAATGGAAAGAATTGTGAGAACAGAGCATCAATGCATGCAGCCTAGTTAGTTATGCCAGTGGCTGGGAGACAGTAAGCAGATAAATAGCCCACGTTTGTTCTCCCCCTTGACTTTTCTAGATTTACATGCAACATAATGCTCAAAGCCTTCTTCCTTCCTTCTCTCTCTGAGGTTATCTCCTGCTTTTTCTTGCTCCTCTTTGTGTACCAAGGACAGAGCACCAGACTTACAAACATGGAAACCAGCTCTAAGGGCTTCTTTAATCAAGCTTGGAGGTCTTTTTTCCCCCATCTGGAATCTGTGGTCAGGTGTATGATGTACATGCAGAAGAGATGGCACAGTGACAGAAGCCCATGCTCTCTGTTAATTTTAGGCAAAGTTCTGTGGCAACTTAAAGACTAAGAAATTGATCACAGAACAGAAGGTACCTTCAGCTGTTTCTAAAGAAATGTCATGTGAATACAGAAATTGGCTGTGGGAGCCATTCCTAGCAACAAAGTCCAAGGCCGGGTGATACTTCTATTGCAATACTATCTTTGTCTGATGAAGAGTTCTAGAAATTCTAAAGTAGGTCTTATTTTTGAGCGAGTCAGCAATAAAGGTGTTTTGTTATCATATGAATTTGCATCATGAAGAGCCGCAGTATCTCACAGTTTCAGCAAGATGGAGCAGCTCACATTTTAAGGGCGTGAAGAATAATTCCTACATTCCTCATTTTCATTTATTTAGGCTTTTCCCGCAAAACAAATACCACAACAAGGAATTTTCAAACCCCATGTGTATTAGACAAGGTAAGGTAAAGGTAAAGGCAAGGTAAAGGTTCCTCTTGACATTTAGTCCAATCGTGTCTGACTCTAGGGTGCGATGCCCATCCCCGTCTCCAAGACGTAGAGCCAGCGTTTGTCCATAGACAGTTTCTGTGGTCATGTGGCCAGCACAACTAGACACGGAACACCATTACCTTCCCACTGTGGTGGTACCTATTTATCTACTTGCATTTTTACATGCTTTCAAACTGCTAGATTGGCAGGAGCTGGGATAAGTGATGGGAGCTCACTCCATCGCATGGATTCGATCTTACAACTCCTGGTCTTCTGACCTTGCAGCACAGAGGCTTATGCAGTTTAACCCACAGCCCTACCATGTCCTTAACATTAGACAAGGAGCACTTTGTAATTCTAGTCAAGTATTCTGCCATTTGTACAGTACAAAACATTTATACATGAAACAACACAAAATGTGTAGACACACAGAGCAAGCACAGGACTGGATGATTGTTGTTGTTTTTTTAAAAAAACCACATATGCAAACACATATAGCCTGCTAGATATAGTAATCTGCCTGAACAATGTTTCAGTAATGTATACATGCTGAATATTCCAGCTTGTTCTAGGACTACTCTGTTTGGAACTTTGTCCTGCCAGGTGATGCCAAAAATCCATCGGAGGCAACGCATATGGAAGGTGTTCAGCTTCCTCTCCTGACGTGCACAAAGGGTCCAGGACTCACTGCAGTACAGGAGTGTGCTCAGGACACAGGCTCTATAGACCTGGATCTTGGTAGATGCAGTAGATTATAACACTACTGTTGTATTTGATGATGTTCAATACTATAACACAGGACATAAAAATTTTCAGCATATGAAATATATTCTATTGGATTTGCTGTAGCATCATTACGGACATGAAGCAACACAGAGTTGAACGCACATATTAAATTTGTGTCACTGGGAAACTGAAGGTGTAGGGAAAATACACCTTGTGCATGTCATTACATGTTGTTTATGTCTAATAGTATAATTCTTACACATGTCTGCCCACCATTAAGTCCCTCTGAGTTCCATGGTCCTCGCCCACTGAAAACAAATATAGTACTGCAGCCTAAACTAAGGGTGCAATCAAATGGCTGCAAAGGTATGCACCTGATTGCACTAAAAACGCTTGCTTAGACAGGAGCAATCTCTCTTACAGTGACCTTTCTGTCTGCTGGGAATCATTCCAGCCCCCCCCCCTCCCGAAGCCCTGCAGCTGGACCAAAAAAGTCCAGCTTAGGCATGGATTGAGTCTGGGTAGAATGTATTTCTCCAGACATTGTGTGATCACTAGAAAAAAGATCACACGTGACTGCCCCACCATTGGTCCAAATTGCAAGCTATTTTCCCGTTTGATCACACCCTAACTTTGTGTTTAGGGCAAGATGGAATTCTCCAGGCATGTCTTTCACAGGCCATGCACATACCTCCCCATTTGGCCTTTCTTTGAAAAGGACATGTTTCTGTTTGGCAGGGGTGTGTGTGTGTATAAGTGACAACAGAAAACCTGAGTCCTTCATCTGGGAACTGGGGTGGTAATTCAGTAAACTCACTAGGTTTAGCCAATTGAGGTCAGATTTGAGGTCAGATTGGTTCTCAAACCTGGGTAACCAAGGTGTTCTTGGACTGCAGCTCTCAGAAGCCTTCACCACCAGCTATGATGGCTGGGGTTTCTGGCAGCTGCAGTCCAAGAACACCTGGGCGACCCAATTTGGGGAAGCAATTTACTAGAAGGAGTGAGAACATTAGTGAAGATTTTGCTACCAAATACATTTCATGGCTTCCCTATTCATTGATGGAGACAAAGGGCTACTATATGGAGTTGGAAGGCACTGATACTTCTCCAGAGTAAGTAGACTGGGTGTTGCATCCAAGTTGAAAAGCTGTGCTTCAGAGGACTAGGGAACAGGTCAAACCTCTTTTCAAAGCTACAGGTCTTGAACAACCCTGAGTCCTTTTTGTTCAGAGCAATAACAATGGGAAAGCTGTGTTTGGACATATGGGGAAGGGTTCAATTAGGATGTGAGAAAAAAAGAGAGGAGGGGAAAAAAGGAGGATGAGGTGGGAGCACCATAGCACGTTGCTCAGTCCTGGTCCAGGAAGCTATGGTTTGATGTGCCAGGATGATTAATGATGAAAGCAAGAAGCCTAACAGGCGTTTTAGTCAATCACTCAATTAAATTCACACTTCAGGAAAGGCTCAGTAATTAGAGAAGGGATGGATCACTTTGCTCTAAGAAGATCCGTATTTTTCCGTGTATTAGATGCCCCAATGTATAAGACGCTCCCAACTTTTCTAATCCAAAAATTAAGAAATCCAAGTGGGGCTTAGCAAGTGTAGGGTCGCTGCAGGATCACTTTGATCGCTGTTTTCCCCTCCACTTGTTTTTGTTCTTTCCTCGGCTTACTTCCGTGTATAAGACGGCCCTCAATTCTTAGTCTAAAGATTTTAGACAAAAGTATAGTCTTATACACGGAAAATTATGGTACATGCTTGTATTGTAGCATTCATAAACTTGCAGCATCACATGTTTTCACACAGTTTTCGTGTAGTCTGCAGCTATTGTAAATACTTGTATTCAAAAGAATTATAAAAATTAAAAATATATTGTATGGTGCATCTCTTTCAGGTCAAAAACATCTTAATTTGGTTAATCCAATCTACTATGCATTGGAAATCCAGGGACAATTTACTGGAATTCAAGAATCTGCACCCCTGGGGCTATCACATACTACCTCAAGATAAGCCAGACCTAGAAGCAAGATTAAAGACGGGCAAAGCCTCCAGCTCACATCAGCCATAGTCAGCATAAGCTAAAAGTAAAAAATGCTGGGAATTGTAATCCCACAATTTTTGATTGACAGCACTTTGCTCACCACTCTTCTGGTGTCCAGTTTATAGTAAACTGAAGACTTTGACCACATGATGTTAAAGTAAACTGATGACTTTCACCATAAGACACCAAACTGCAAGAATCACCATATCTGTCAATTTATACTCTTCTCTTACCAATGTTTTTCATGAGCCAAATCTGATAGTCATCTCGAACCTCTTCTGTTAAACTGCTCAGTAACGCCTCCAGATTTGGGTTGCTAAGAAGATGATTTGGGATATGTTTTAAAATATTCTCCATCACTTGTTCATCCTGGGGTGCCAGCATGTCTTTCCGGATGCCTTTATGGATGTAGTAACAGTAACGCTACAACACATGCACACATACTCCAATTTAGTAGATGTCATTACCGTTATTAGTGAAATATATGCATAAACATATTTCCGACAGATAGCATGAAAATATTTTAAATAAAATGTGTTCCTAATTGCTTTTCCAACTCCTATGCTCTTACAGAGCCATCTGAAATAAGCTGCAAGGGCTGGTTCTATTTCTTGTACAAAATTCAGACTTAATTCTAAATGCTAAATATGGATGTGAATGGGTCTGTCTTTCAACACACTGCCCTGAAAGTCTAACATTCAAAGACTGAATATAATAGATTTTCAGTAGGGCAAAGGGAAAAGACAAGTAATATAACAAACAAACAAACCCACAAGAGTCAATTGTCCAAGGTCTTAAATGTGCTTTATTATATTTTTACAGGCACTTCACCATTTAAGCCTCCCTCACGAACACCTGATTAAAACGAAGGGCTGGGGAATCTTGGGTCATTGAGACATTTTAGATTTCAGTTTGCAAAACCTCTTACCATTAGACATATCCAGTGGATCTGGTGGGGCTTATCGCTCAAAACATCTGGAGGGCCAGAGGTCCACCGTGACATTTAGAAAGGCTGCTTCTGAGTTGCTAAGCCTTTCTTTCAGTTTTAGAAATGGATCCCCTACCTGTAAATCAGTATCTGTGGGGATATTTTCTTGCTTCTTGATCTCCTCCTCATGGTGAAGCATTATGACCAACTGTTCTTCTGGAGTTAGAGGTTGGCTGTCAGAATAAGGGAGAAGGCCTGCTTCCAGGACTTCCTTATCTTTCTGCAACAAATCCAGTCTATGGTCTTGAACTGTTGTTGTATCTCTGGAATGCAAATTCTCCAGCTTAGTGAGCTAGCAACCAGAAATACAGGGATATTTAACAACAATTCCTGTTATGTTTTCACTGCCTCTTAATTCAGTTATTTAAAGAAAAAATATATTTATAAATCTACAGTGTACACTGGGAAAATATCCATATGTTTACTGAATTAGATTTGCACTTGGGTGTTCCTCATTGGCTTTGAAGAAGTTTGAACATGGCTGCATTTATGTTCAAGTACTGGCGCAAGAGAAATCCTGATTTGCAGATCACTTTGTCTGACCCTTAAGTTCCCTCAGGCAGCAGATGTTGGAAAACGGCAAAAAAAAAGTTTGGAGGAGAGTCCTATATAGCAAACACCCTGCCCTATGCCACACAAGCCACTTTGTTCCTGCAGATACAGTGGAAGAAACCATTGGGTACGTCAGGCCACAGCAGATTAATATACACGCTAGTGTTCCAGCACTATCCTGTTAAACTATTATTAAGTCTACCAAAATGTGTGTTTCACAGGTAGATCAAGGAGGATCATGAAGACCTATAAAATCCAAAGAGCAATTATTTCCTTACAAAATGCTGATTGTTGCAAAGGTCTAATTTCACCCAAGTAAAAGCACTGTTACATCCCTGATGGTGGAGAGCTATTGTTTTTTATCTGAACTGTTCCACTCTAATTTTTATAAGCCACAGCATAGTGTGGCTCTGCATAGTAAAGTCTAATACTTCACCTCATCCCGCTCTTCATGATGACGTGACACTGCAAATCTTCTTTGATGTTACATGTGTATCCACTCTGTGACCCTATATTGAGCTAATATACTCTATACCCAGCTAGCCGATCTCCCTTCTTCTGTGGATGTGAACAGATTAACTGAACTGATCAGAAAAAAACCACACACAAAACATAATCTTGTATGCTACACTTCCACCCACATAAGGCTCATTTATCAGGACATGTCCTTGTATCCCATTCTCTCTGCTTTCATCATTATGATCTTGATTGCCTTATTGATTATTGTTAAAATACCAAGCAAATGTTGTCCATCTTCCCAAAGTAATTTGTTTGTGATTTGGGATTTTTTGTTTGGAGCATTAAGTTAGCTTTAAGGGGGCTAACACAGTAATCCTATAAAATGTCCTTGGTATCCACTGAACTCAACAGGACTTACATAGGAATAGCCCTATGTATTTATGATGGCATTGCACATTTATGATGGCATTGCACATTACCAAATTATTGCTCTCCATATCTCATCTAGGGCCAGCACTAGATGAGTGAGGTAGAAATCTCATGTGGCAGATAGTGGGACACAGCAATAAGATGTTAGAGGAAATAACTTTGTACCGTGCACCCTTGTTCTGTACCCCCTAGCTAGTGTGCTGATTTCAAGTATGCTGGGGAAATCATTACGGTTGAAGGAATATTCATCCACCAGTCCAAACAGATTTTGTACATAATGTCTTTATGACTTTTTGCTGCTTTTGTTATTGTTTGTTTGATTGTATTGTGTGTTAACTGCCCAGAATATTGCATTGCGCTAATGGGGTGGTATATAAAATAAAGAAACAAAAAAAAGGTTAATTTTGCTTCAGTCAGCAAAATGCCTTAAGCCAACCCTGATTTTATACTCAAGGGTGGTTCTTCTCCCTATTAGCCGTGACGCCTGAAGGTAAATGGAGTTGTCTTCCAAACTACCTGAAGGGTGGTTGGGAAACACAAAATATCAATGGAGGACAGCAGTGGTTCCCAAACTTTTTTAACTAGTGGTTCCCTTTCCTTACTGGTCGCTGGCCATGGCTCCCCAGTACAGTAGGACTGCCATATATACGGGATCAGTTCCACAGTTTCACTTATACACTACTACTTGGGGAAAAAATAAGAAAAGAAAAAAGACATGAACACACCTTCCTAAGGTGTATTACCAGGATTGGCTACTAGATGGAACCAGAGACTATGCTATATACCAGTGAAGGAGAACCTATGGCACACATGCCACACCTGGCACGCAGAGCCCTCTCTGTGGGCACACAAGCCATAAGTCGCTGGATCGCTACCCCTGGCAGCCAGACCTGAGGAGGAGGAGGAGGCAGCTGCGGTGCTAGCGCCCCAACAGGTGGCAGTCTAGGATTTGGAGCAGCTGGCACTGGAGGGAGGAGGAGGAGGCAGCTGCGGTGCTAGCACCCCAACAGGTGGCAGTCTAGGATCTGGAGCAGCTGGCACTGGAGGGGGTTGGCCACAAGTGGAGGCGGATCCGGAGTGGGGCCTGGGGGCACCTCCGTGCCAGGGATTCCCCCTTCCGCCACAGCTTCCACCGCCGCCACCCGCTGTTGTTTTTTTCCCCTGCAGTTTGGGCACTTGGACTCAAAAAGGTTAGCCATCACTGCAATGTACAGATAGCTTAAGGGGAAAAGCCTTGTGGCCTGACTTCTCCAAAAATGGAGAAGCTTCATTTTCTGCAGGGAAGGCTCCCTTGCAATCAGGAATGCCAGGGTTCCCTCGCTCCACCATGCATAGACACCAGAGGAATTGCAAGTTAAGTGCTGTACGATGCTTTTTTGGGGGGGGTGAAAGGTAGGGGGAAGGATAAGAGAAATCCACAGCAACCCTGGGCGGATTTCCTGACACCCTATAGTTTGGGGGGGGGGGTGAAAGGTAGGGGGAAGGATGAGAGAAATCCACAGCACCCCTGGGCGGATTTCCTGACACCCTATGGCACAAGGGCACACCATTTGGGAAACACTGGAGTAGAGGGACAACTGACATGACCCAGTACAAGACTGCTTCATATGTAAGCCACGCATATCAACACAAGTTTCCAAGGTTGTAATACTTTTCTGATCTAGCTCTCACTGCTCAACAAACTGTCAATCTTACATCCTGACCATGGATAATGCTCCATATCATTAACTAGACTCATTAATTTGATCTAGCAGGCGATTTCAAAGAATGCTGCTGGGTGACTGTCAATGGGATCACACATTTTATTAGAGAGTAGAGGTGGGGCCATTCAGGAAATGTTGCATCAACATAAGGGTAAAATGCTGACTTAAATGAAGAACAAGGCAGAATTCCTTCCCATTCTGTGTACAAAGTATTATTGGGCTGCAACTCTCATCATCTTTCACCATTAGTTATGCTGCCCAGGGCTTATGGGAATGTTCTTCAACAATTACTGGTGAGTCAGATGCTTTCCACCTCATATTACATTAACCCTGCAGTAGCTGCATTGGTTCCCAATTTGTTTCTGGGAAGAAGCATCAGGAACTGCTTTTAAAGCCCTAACATGGTTTAGTTCCATGTTATCCAAAAGTGCTAGCTTCTCTTATCACCCTGCCTGTTGCTCAAAATCTTATAGACAAATCATTCCCTGGATCCCACCTAGGTTTAGGACCATACCCACACTCTGGGACCTTATATGATGCCATTCAAAGTGGCTCCTTCCATAGCCATCTCCCACCAATTAGTAAAGTCTCTTTAAGAAAATTTGAGAAGTCTTGCATTGTAGCAGAACAGATGGTGCTTTCTTGCCTGTCTTGATTGCATGCCATTGTGTTTTGCTCACAACTGCTGTTTCGTAATGATTTTGAGATTTTAAATGTCAGAAACTGCCCCAAACAATGTGCATGCATCAGTAAGGGCAGAATAAAAATATTAATATTAATAAATACAATCTCTCTGCCAGATACCAGGACTAGAAGCAGAAGAGGTTGAACAGAATCTCTTTGCCAGAAAGCCTCTGGGGCAAGAACTCTGCCGGGAGGGCCTTCAGAACTTGAAAAAGTTCGTTTTTTAAATTGTGAAATAAATTTACAGAAGATGTCTTGTTCACAGTACCTGTCAGATTTGTACCCACTAGTTCTTGGTGAAAGTTTTGCCTTCTTCTCAGAAGGAAGATATTCTTTGGATGCTATGAGACTTGCCTAAGGAAAAACACTGGTGATGCAGAGGAAAGAGAAAGGCTAATGTAAATTTAATGAAGCATTCAGGAATCTAATCTATGTATACTCTGGTATGAACTGAGCTATTTTGCAATTCCCAGATGGACACGTGAACCAGAACTTAGTTTCCTCATCAGTGTTTGTACTTCCCATATGTTCTGATACAACTCACATTTATTTGAAAACGCATATTTTCAGAGAAAATATTTTAAGAAGTGTATAGTTTCTTCAGCTTCAGATTCTGTATGTCAACTTCTCCATGACAACAAGGATCCACCATCTGGATCCAGCCATTTATGCAGAACTTTTTTCCATTTTTTCCAATTGAGACTCTCTAGTCTTGCCAATAGGCACATAAAAGTTCTTTGTAATGTGGATTGTAGCTGTTCTCTAACAGGGGGGACGTGCAATTTGTTTTACAGTACAGTTGTGCCTCGCTTAACGACTGCCTCACTTAATGAGGAAATCGCTATATGATTAGGTTTTTGCGATCGCTTTTTTAAAATGATGTTTTAAATGGGTTTTTTTCGTTTAACGATGATTGGTTCCCTGCTTCGGGAACCGATTTTCGCTTTATGATGATCAGCTGTTTCAAAATGGCCACTGGCTGAAGAAAATGCCCCCCCCGCTGTTTTCTAGGACGGACTCCTCGCTTTACAGGCACCGAAAATGGCCGCTGTATGGAGGATCTTTGCTGGACGAGCAGGTACTCAGCCCATGGAAGCATTGAACGGTTTTCAATGCGTTTCAATGTGTTTTTCATTTCGTTTGATGTTTTCGCTCTACAGCAATTTCACTGGAACGAATTAACATCATCAAGCGAGGCACCACTGTATTTGTATATGTGTTCTGTGCCATCAAGTCAGAATCAATTATAATGACCCCAATATGGCTTTCAAGGTCAGATATTTAAGGAGTGGTTTCACCACTTACACACACACACACACACACACACACACAGAGTCAGTTTCCATCGCTGAGCCCTGTTCTCCAGAGACCTCGTCTGTCACTCCATCCACGGTACCACACTGGGAACAGCATTATTTAGCATCTTTGTATTACTTATATTAACAATAAAGTATTATCCCCTTCATTCTCATGCTTCTCCCTGGAATTGTGTCTACAGTTAAGATTAAGTTCATCTTGCTCCTCCTTTTTCCTTTTCCTTGACTTTGTTGCTCACTTTTCTTTTCTGCACCCTGATTCATGATCTCCCTCCTCCTCTTTGTTCTCTCTAGTTGGGGCCAAACTTATTTTATTAGTTATTTTACTGTTGTGTGCTGATCATTCTTCTTTTATAGCCGAATACATTTTTAATTCTTTTTAAAAAGATAAGATTTTATGCTCAAACAAAATACATTTAAAATGCATGTGCATTTCTGTGAATATTGTTTTTAACCATATATTAGCCCAAACAATAGAATAGACTTATTTGTGAGCACAGGAGAAAAGTCTCACACATGAGAAACCTAGAGTCCTTTCTTATCCATATTACTGCAAATTTCAAACCAATGGCAAGATCTCAGGAGTGCCCAGATTACTCTGGACTCTTGGTTAAGCAGCAGAAAATAGTACAGGCCAAAGGAACACAGAAGAGGGGAAAGGACGGAAACTTGGTATGTAGATATTTATTAGAAACATGCTTACTTGTTTGCCACAAAGTAGGTCAGGGGCCAGCTTTTCATAGCAAAAAGAGCATATGAGGGCACAAAAACACCCTTGTGACACACATATCCTGTCCCTTGCCTTGGCTTGCCAAATCCATCTCTTGATACCAGCAATGAGAAGGCAAGAAGAAAAATGGCTATTTGCCACGATCAAGGCAGTGTTCTGCTGGAACACACGTCCCAGTGGAGGACTTCCCTTAGTTAGGTATCTAGTTGGTAAAGGTAAAGGTTCCCCTTGACAATTTTTGTCCAGTCGTGTTTGACTCTAGGGGGCGGTGCTCATCCCCGTTTCCAAGCCATAGAGCCAGCGTTTTGTCCGAAGACAATCTTCCGTGGTCACGTGGCCAGTGTGACTTAGACACGGAACGCTGTTACCTGCCCACTGAGGTGGTCCCTATTTATCTACTTGCATTTGCATGCTTTCAAACAGCTAGGTTGGTGGGAGCTGGGACAAGCGACGGGTGCGCACTCTGTCGCATGGATTCGATCTTATGACTACTGGTCTTCTGACCCTGCAGCACAGGCTTCTGCGGTTTAGCCCACAGCACCACCACGTCCCTAGGTATCTAGTTGACCTTTGTGCAAAGAGAATGCTGGACTAGACAAGCCTTACGTTCTTACAAATGTGGTTAGATTGTTGAATGTATGTGAATGTGCCAGCCCCTAAAACCAACATGGAGGAAGGGCTTCCCTTGACTACTGGCATGGAAAAGGAAATAGCTGAAAAGCAAACTTGGGAATAAAGCAGCTGCTATGTAGGGGCACCACATGTTCTCTTTTACAGAGGATAATCTTCCATTTGAAGGGCTGCCAGTCTTTCTTGTGAAGCTGCCTTCCATTTTAAAGACTATCCAGTCTATGTCTGGTTTAAAAATAAATCTAAGATGGGAGATCAGAGTCCCCGAAACTGTTCATATGCAGTTAACACCTGTAGAGCAGTCTTAGCATGAATTTACCACCACCATGCTAATTTTAACTCAATATTGTACTTCCAAATGCTGCAATTTCATGCCAAAAAAGTGTCTCATTCGTCCCTCTTTGATGACAAGCTCCTCCTTTTTAGTGCTGTGTAAGAGGTCACCCTGCTGTTAAGACTGGGCACCTATAATCTTGCTTACTGTACTACCACCCCACATCACCCACCCAGCATCTAACACCTTTGAGCCCCTCCTAACATCCTCCCAGTAGGGGCAAATTTGTCACTGTTGACTCCTGGCTCATTTTTAACATATAGGATACGTGGAGATTCCGCTTTCTGTTTTGCAGCACCAGCTGTCTTTTTTGTCTTTATGGGCGAAACTATCTTCTGCAAATCTTTCATCTTCAGGTCACGTGCTGTGAGAGTGTAGTTATTGGCAATGGAGTCACTTGGGCTTCGGAAATGACGTTGCTCTTTAAAGGGAGCTGCCAAGGTCCATGATGCCCTCTGCATCAGAGGAGGGTAATAGCTGCTCTTCTGGATCATCTGAAATGGTTGAAGAACGTCAAAGCCATTAAATGGTGATTTAATTTGGTCACTGATAATCTATATGGCTTCTTTCAACAGAGTAACTGAGATCGTAAGAATAGATGATTGCAGAATGGTAGCAAACACAGATGACCTTTCCAAAATGTCTCATTGAGTTACTGCCTGGAAAAGCAATGTGATGCATGGACATTTAAAAACACCTTGCTACTTCATGAAGAGCAGAAATTTGCACCCTTCACTTATCTGAGTGAATCACAGTGCATCGTACCCAAAATTAGCCAAATCTTTTTGACACATGAGGCAAAAAATGCTGTAGACATTTCTAATCTTTGGAAGGAAAAATATATCAAGAAGAAAGGAAGTAACTAACCATTTGTTTTCCTTGCACGGGTGTCTTACTCTCGCAAAACCAGCTGTGATGCATAAAACATATGAGTTTGGACTACAACATATATCATACCTAACCATTCCTCATACTGGGCAGCGCTTGATGAGAATTCAGTCCAAAGACTTCTGGAACGCTGCAACTTCCCTGCCTTTGAAAGTCTAGACCTCAACTATGTTTCATACTAAATAATTAGTTTTAAGTTTATTCATAAGAAGCAACGTCTGTTCTTAGAGAAAGCCAGTTAGACAGTGTTACTATATGTCTGTTAAACCATTTATAATCTTTTTAACATAGTACTTTCACCTTCTTGCATATTTAGGCGTAAAATTCCAGTCCAATTTGTCATGAGGTCTACAGTTAATCCCACACATTCAACAGCACACTGAGACCTCAAAAAATGTAAAAATATTTTTAATCAGGCTGAAATCCTTGATATACCTACTAAGGAGTAGTGCTACTAAATACTGTATAGCTTATTCCTAAATTTAAAAATACTGCACTGTCAGAATTCCTCTCATGTGACCTACATCTGAATAATAAATGATGAGAGTTAAGCAAGCTCACCATTTTGAAAAAAGTGAAGTAAACAACAACGACAGTGCCAGCTGGAGGTTGTTTTCTACCTTATCTCACAGGACCATTATCTTATAGAATCATAGAATAATGAAATTGGAAGGGCCGTATAAGGCCATCGAGTCTAACTCCCTGCTCAATGCAAGAATATAAATCAAAGGGTATCTGCCAGGTGGTTGTTTACATTTCTCTTGAATGCCTCCAGTGTTGGAGCGCTCACCACCTCTTGAGATAATTGGTCCCATTGCCATACAGCTCTAACAGGAAGTTTTTCCTCATATTCCACCAAAATCTGGCTTCCTATAACTTCAGCCCATTGTTGCGTGTCCTGTACTCTGTGATGACTGAGAAGAGATCCTGCTCCTCCTTCTCTATGACAGCCTTTCAAGTATTTGAAAAGTGCCCAGTTGTCTGTTTTTCAAGGCTAAACATGCCTAATTGTTTCAATCTTTCCTCATAGGGCTTAATTTCCAGACCCCTTATTATCCTTGTTGCCCTCCTCTGAACTTTCAATTTGTCAGCATCCTTCTTGAAGTATCATGTCCAGAATTGGACACAATAGTCAAGATGAGGCCTAAGCAGTGCTGAATAGAGGGGAACTATTACCTCATGGGATTTGGAGACTATACATCTGTCAATGCAGCCTAAAATAGTGTTTGCCTTTTTTGTAGCCACATCATACAGTTGGTTCATATTTGATAAGACTATAATTCCACATTTAAAAGTTACTTTCAAAAATGCATTGCCTAGGTTCTATTCAGACTCTGATAAGACTCTGATTCACCATTTTGTTATTTAGACATTTAAGACTTATTTGGGGAGAACTTAGGCAGCAAGTTGCCTATATCATATTTAACAGCAAATGTATCATTGAGAAACTAAGAGGAAATAAGTTCAACTTATTCATTTAAATACTTCAAGACTGCTAGTGGGGGCTGTTGGATGTCTGTGATAAGCATTGCTACTATAAAATGAACAAGATTAGTCAGAATCTTTTAGCAATTGTATGTATTACAGTGGTGCCTCGCTTTATGATTGCCCCACATTACGATGAAACCGCTTAACGATGATCTTTTTGCAATTGCAATTGCGATCACAAAACAATAGTCTGAATGGGGGAATTTTGCTTTGCGATGATTGGTTCCCTGCTTCAGGAACCGATTCTTCGCAAAACGACGTTTTTCGAACAGCTGATCGGCAGTTTCAAAATGGCCACCAGGTGATTAAAATGGCTCCCCACTGTGTTTAGGGGCAGATTCCTCACTATACAGGCAGCGAAAATGGCTGCCGTATGGAGGATCTTCGCTGGACTGTGAGTTTTTACCCCATTGGGTACCCCATTTACCCCATTTGCGTTCAATGGGGTTTTTATTTTTGCTTTACAATGTTTTCGCTTAACGGCAATTTTCCTGGAATGGATTATCATCGTTAAGCAAGGCACCACTGTACTCCTTTGTTAATTTTGAAGATTTGAAAGGGCAGAATTCTACACATGTACACACACTAGCCAAGCTTCTAAATTCACTTAGGAAATCAAACTGTCTCTGCCAACTGGCCAAAACACTACTGGCCCTGATTGCATCCCTTTAAAAGAAGGTGGATCTACAGCTATCAAAAGGTAAAGTTTTTCCTGGCATGGAATTAAATGGGACCAGAGAGAATAGCTACAAATGAAACCGTGCAGTGGAAATGGATTTATAACAGTTAGCAAGACAGGTATTTAAATATTTTTCTCTCCGCCTTTTGCAGCAGACGTGTGGGCAGTGCTGGTGACGAGCAGCAAGGAGAAAGAATGAGCACGGTAAAAGGCTGTTAAGGTTAAGAAAGGGCATAATAACAGGCTGTTACTATGCCCTTTATTTGCCATCTCCTTTGCTTAAGTCCTCCAGCCAGCACGAATCTCATGATATATCAAGGATGTGGAGAAACAAGGAAAACAGGATTAGGCACCTTGAATTTCTTAATTGTTTTTTCAATTATAATCATTGGAGGGCAGGGATCATGTCTCTTGAAACATTGGCAGAAAATGTTTTGAAACTTTCACAGGAATAAGTACTGTATTAACATGTCATGTTCTCATAAGCACTCTTGCTCAGGCTTGGGTTGGAAGGTCTTGCTCTAATTTTCCAAACAATTTGTTCTCCCAGCAAGATACTGGTTTTCATTTGGTTGTGCTTTTCTCAGTAAAGAATTCTCAGGATCGCGTCATACACTGGTGGTGATGGGAAAGGAAGGTATTGCCAGTTGGGCACAGGGAACGAAATAATCTTTAGAACATGAAGTCTGCACTAGCCTTAAGCACTTGAGTGACTATATGGCCCCTAGTTTTGTGGCAAGTGGTCCTCTTTTTACAAAAGAGCAGAGTCTGCAGCTGCTTTTGGGCCCCTAGTTTTGTGGCAAGTGGTCCTCTCTTTACAGAGTCTGCAGCTGCTTTTATAGGACGCTGCTTGCTTTACAGTCAGGAAAGAGAACAGAACACTGGCTCTGTTCTGTTGCTGCAGGAAGATCAACCTTATGCCACTGGAAGATATTTTGTGTTAAGTACTTGTACAAAAGGGCTGACGTGGTTGGGCAGTTGTTAATGCCCACATCTTGTAGGAAGTCCAGTGTGGAGCCACAGAAATCTTTGACATTCTTTCTGCTCCTTATTTATTTATTTAAAATATATTTACCCTGCTTTTCTCCTTGAGAAAGATGGCTTACAACATTAAAAGGAGACTATTTAAAGGTTAAGAACAGTAAAAATACAAATATTAAAAAAGAATTAAACAAGGATATGAAAATGGTAAACAAAATCAATACTAAAAACACATTTTAAAGCAACAAAGCACCACAAACCAATTTGAAAAACCGCTCTCAGACTGCCAATCACTAAGAGAAAGGTCTTGCCTGTTTGCAGGACAGCAAAATTGCTCCTTGCAGTTGTTGCCCATTCACATACCCCAGAGGTAGGCTATCTGGAGCCTTGCAGAGTCCAGATGTTGTTGTATTACATACAACTTCCAGCAGTCACCATTATGAGATATGCTGGGAACATCTGCAGAGCTATATTTTGCCCACCCCAACTAGTCCTCTGCATGTGTGTCAGCAGTGACAATCACAGAATCATAGAAATATGAAGTTGGAAGGGCCCTACAAGGCCATCAAGTTCAACCCCCTGCTCAGTATAAGAATACAATCAAAGCATATCTTCCAGATGATTATCTAAGTTTTTCTTGGATGTCTCCAGTGTTGGAGCACTCGCCAGCTCCCGAGGTAATTGGTTCCACTCTCGCACTGCTCTAACAGGAAGTTTTTCCTGATATTCAACTGAAATCTGGCTTCCTTTAACTTCAGCCCATTGTTGAATGTCCTGCACTCTGGGATGATCGAGAATAGATCTTGCCCCTCCTCTGTATGACAGTGTTTCAAATATTTGAAAAGTGCTATCATATCACCCCTCAAGTCTTCTTTTCTCAAGGCTAAACATGCCCAATTCTTTCAGCCTTTCCTCATAAGGCTAGGTTTCCAGCCGCCTGATCATCCTCACCGCCCTTCTCTGAACTTGTTCCAATTTGTTAGCATCCTTCTTGAAGTGTGGTGTCCAGAATTGGACATAAGACTCAAGTCCTAACCAGTGCTGAATAGAGGGGAACTAGCACCGTGCGGGATTTGGAAACTATGCTTTTATTAATGCAGTCTAAATTAACATTTGCCTTTTTTGTAACCACATCGCACTGTTGGCTCATATTCTGCTTGTGATCTACGACAATTCCAAGATCCTTCTTGCTCATAGTATTGCTGAGCCAGGTATCCCCCATCTTGTAACTGTGCAATTGGTGTTTTTTTCCCCAAGGTGCAGTACTTTGCATTTATCCCTCTTGAATTTAATTATGTTGTTTTTGGCCCGGTGCTCCATCCTATCAAGGTCATTTTGATTCCCCCCCACATCTTCTAGGGTATTAGCTATCCTGCCCAATTTTGTACCATCTGCAAATTTGACAAGCACTAGTCACTATCTTCTTTGCTATCTTGTTATGAGCAGTGGTATGCACTTATCAAGGAAGGAAAAGGCAAGCAAATGGGCATAAGAACAGCAGAAAGCAGAGGCTCCTACTGAGGTCTGAGAGGGTCATTCAGCAGGACAATAAGAAGCTTACACGTACCTGATACAGTTCAGAGGGGAATTCTGCAGCCGAAGTAGGCAAGGATGGTAATTCTGGTATTTGTTTGGCATAGCTCATATTATATATAGAATCATTCTGTGCCTAGAGATAATTAAAAACAAGGAGCAATACATACAAAAGCTTATAATGGCAGGCAGATACACAAAGTAATCTATGTAAAAGCAAAGCAAAGCAAAGCGTGCTGCTTATATACTGCCCCATAGTGCTTCAAGCACTCTCTGGGCGGTTTACAATTTAATTATGCAGGCTACACATTGCCCCCCCAGCGAGCTGGGTACTCATTTTACCAGCCTCGGAAGGATAGAAGGCTGAGTCAACCTTGAGCCGGCTACCTGGGATTTGAACTCCAGGTCGTGAGCACAGTTTTAGCTGCAGTACAGCGGTTTAACCACTGCACCACAGGGCTCCAATAACTGTTGTTGTCATGTGCCATCGCAGTCATACACCAATTTTTTCAAGTCTCATCATAGTGTTGTATCAAAGTAATTGTGAATGATACATAAATATCCAAACAACTGTTTGAAAATGTTTGTATATTTTATAAATTTGTAAATTTTAAGTATAATTGTGGACATAATTGCACACAATAATGCAAACCCTGTAAAATCCAGAATTATTTGTCGATTTTAAGTGAACAGTGGGCATCATTATACATATGAACAAATAATTTTCAAGGTGAACAGTAGTTCTTGCTGTTTAGAGAAAAGTTTGTAATTATCTTATGCTTCCTCATACACACTCCAGGCAAGTTCTCATTCATGGAAGAAGTGCTTCACAGAAGAATAACTGTCAAAATTAATGGGTTTTTTTTTAAAAAAGGGATCAGGCAAATTCATGGCGGTGAAGGCTAAAATTGACTGCCAGTCAGGACTAATTTATATGGCCTCTACTATCAGGGCAGGCGTCTTAACTATGAACCCCGAATTTTGGAATCTCCAAATTTTGCAATCCTTTTGCAGCATTTAATAAGACACATTATATGCTTAGAATAGCTCCCCCGAAATAGTATAACTGATGGATTTCAAATGTTAACTGTTGTTGTCATGTGCCATCACGTCAACTTCAACCTGTGTAACCCCATGAATGACTGATCTCCAAAATTATTTGTCATCAGCAGACCTGCTCAGCTCATGTAAACTCAAGGCTGTGGTTTATTTAGGGAGTCACTCCATCTCCTATTTGGTCTTCCTCTCTTTCTGCTGCCTTCGGCCTTTCCCGGCATCATTGCCTTTTCCAAAGAATCTTGCTATCTCATGATGTGCTCAAAACAGAACAGTCACAGTTTCATCATTTTTGCCTCCAGAGATAATTGAAACTTGCTTTAATCTAGGACCCACTTGTTCATCTTTCTGGAAGGCCAGGGTATCTGTAAAGCTCTTTGCCAGCACCATATTTCAAATGAATAATTATTTTCTTATCAGCTTTAACACCCATATATAGTGATCAGGAATACAATAGAGTGTGAATGATCTTAACCTAAATAGTGTAAACCTAAATGTAAACTATTTAATCTCTTCTAATTTACTGCTTGCTCTCTCCTTCTTAGAGGGCATGGTCCTTCTTCTGATTTCTTGGCTGCAGTCTCCTTTTGGATTGATGATTGAGCCAAGGTATAAAAACCTTTCACTGTTTCTATTTGTTCACAGTCAATTGAGTTTCATAACGCAAATCAGTTCCTTCACTATCCTTACCACAACCTGCTCCTGATCCTGTATTGGCAGGGTGTTAAAGAGGATTCCCAGTTTGATCTCTCGTTGTTTTTCAGGGCGCTGCAGTGCATGGGGCTGGCATGGTGAAATGCTGAAATAGGACTGCAAAACTTTGGCACAGGTTTTGTCTGCTATGTGCCAATGAGTTGCACCCAACTTATATTCTAAATTACTGTAGTAGGTTTGTAGTTAACAAGCCTGAGGCTGTTGTTCTAGTACCTGTCATCAAAAAGAGTTGATTTTTCCAAGTTCTTATTCTTTTCATGTTATCATTATCATTATCATTATCATTATCATTATCATTATCATTATTATTATTACTATTATTATTATTATTACGACGACTACTACTACGACGACGACGACGACGACGACTACAACGACGACTACAACTACTACGACTACTACGACTACGACTACGACTACTATTAGTTTTATTTATATGCTGCATTTTTCCCAACAAGGGAACAAAAGCTGCATTCTTCAGATTGCAGATCAGAATTTGTATTACTGAATGCTCCTTCACACATTGAAAAAATTCTACCAGATAGAAAAGTCACGACGACGACGACGACTACAACGACGACTACAACTACTACGACTACTACGACTACGACTACGACTACTATTAGTTTTATTTATATGCTGCATTTTTCCCAACAAGGGAACAAAAGCTGCATTCTTCAGATTGCAGATCAGAATTTGTATTACTGAATGCTCCTTCACACATTGAAAAAATTCTACCAGATAGAAAAGTCTACTACGTTAGAACAAAGGTTTATCTGGTCCTATTCCCACAGAGATTAACTATATGCCTTTAGAACCCAGGTAATGAAAGCAACAGCTGTTCATTGTTTTTTCATTCAATAAGGGTTTAATCAGAAAATAGATAATCATCTATCTTGGATGCTATTGGAAACATTTCCCTGCATTTGCACCGAGCTAGACTAGATGACCTCTGAGTAATTTCCAGCCTTATAAACTTATGACTGAGAACAGTTCTTCAGGAGAGTTTCAGGAAAAGGAGAGCCTTCCCTTTAGAATGTGATCAACCGTTTCATTAGCTTCTTTCCCACCCATCAGCATTTAATGTATCTTTCTAAAACTGAGAATATTGAGGAAAAGCTAGTTAAAGTACAAAGAGACAGAAATTATTAGAGCACTAACTCTTTTGAAACAGATGCTCTCTACTATACACTTCAACAGCCTATTCACAAAACTGATACTTTCCAGCTTGTCATGTTTCAGGACATATTAAAAGCAGCATAATTCACCAAAGCAAATGTCTTACCAACATTCAGTCATGGAGTTGGGAAATGAAATTTCTCAGCTGGCATACTAGCAGCCAGTAAAATTAAAAACATTTAACTGGAAAAGAGAAGAGCCTCAGTGTAGAGTTTTTCAATCCCTTGAATGTCTGGTCTTCATCTCAAGGCCCAAAGAAGGTCCAGTAACATGCACGAAAGCACACTTACCCTCACAATTTTGGCAGTTTCTCTTGGATTCATGATCAGATTTTTCTCCCTGGCTCCAGTTGTTTCTGGATTGCTTTAAAGGGGGAGTCAGTAAGCTCAGTGAGAATTCTTAGCTAAGAGTTTGTTTTCAACAGCTGGAAGAAGATCAATTAAAAGAGATTACCCTTGACATTCAACCTAAAAATCCTAAAATTTTTGTTACTTCACATTTCGACTTCCCTGCAGCCCTACTAATTGAAAGCAATTGCTCTCCTCATCTTCCTTCTATCTTAGCTTGCCAAATTAATGCCTCTTCCTAGTGATATTTCTCCTAAAAGCAATCCCAAACAGCACCCAGTCATTTTGTTGCATTTTTAACCACTATAACTTCCCTCTTCTGTTTTTCATTCATTTAATACATTTACATACTACTTTGTAAAGAAACAGATTCACAAAATTACTTTCAAATAACAGGAGACTTGCACATATAAAGTGAATAAATGCAGCATATCAAGATTATGGAAATTAAGCCTAGTTTAAGGTTTGTTGAGAAACTGGACACTTGTATCAGCTATGTATTCAGTAGAGGCTACTTTAAAAAAGCATTTTTTAAAGAAATGCATAAATCATATTTCATTGACTGTGGATTCAAAAACACAGAATGCACATAATATTATAAAAAGAAAAGTACAACAGCAATGGTCAAATTACACAACAAAAGGCACTAATATTATTTAATCAGCAGAAAGTGAAGAGAAGAAAAAATAAATAAAAGAAATAAAACACCCTGTTATTTTTTTATATATATACAGGGGTGGGGAGTTTTGATTTGACAGCAAAAAGAAGCTTGGAGATTGTAGTTATTTCTCATGGAAGATTTATCAAAGGTCTGCCCCTTCATTCCCCAACCCCAGTGTGTCCTGTTCTTACTCTAAATCTGACTGTTTTTCCTACTCTCTGCTTGTTACACAAAAAACCTTGTTTGCTTGCTTGCCCTTTTCTCCTTATACTCCTTAGATTCACTTTTGATCCTCCTCTTCCTTCACATTTTTGCTTTCTTTTCTTTTATTTAAAAAAAATCTGAATTATCCCACTTTGTAGGATGTCCATACATGCACTTTTAAGGAAGGAGGAATGGAAATAAATGCAACTAAAGTGTGCTTGCAAGAAAGCAAAGCAAACATAAACTTATTGTACCTTTTCTCAGTATCCCTACATAACAGGAACCAAAACAAGGGGATGGGGTCTGCTTTAACCTGTTGCCACCCTAGTTACCTGTCTCTGCTCTTGGTTGCTGCTTGCAGCTCAAAACTAACTTCTATGTATGACACACTCTCTCTTTCACTTCTCAGCCAGGGTAACCAAGGTGACAGCATTATTGTCACTAAGCAACATTAGAATGAGTCCTTCTCTGTCTGCTCACCCCCACCTCCCCAAGCTGGCCGGAACAGCAACTTCTTCCAGCTTAGATATAATCTAAGCATTATTATTATAAAAGGACAATCATTTACCAATTGGAAAAGGTATGTTGGTTTATTAACTTAATCTGATTCACCCAGAGCAGGGCTGCAGGATGAAGGCCAGACTATAGGTTACACCTAGGTCACCGTTAGAAGCTGAAAATGCTACCATGGATGGGCATCTCCCCAGGACTGACAGCTCATCAGGGCATTCAAATACATAAAAAAATCCTACCCACTACTGTACAATTGCTACATGATTCTTCGCCCATCCCTCTTTCTGGATCAGCAGCACTGGGCAAGAAAACAACAACCCACACATGGTGGGTTTTAGTTTGATCCACTGGTCATGCTGGAATCTGGTTCTTGGTGGCAAGTCCCACTTCCACGAAGCTACTTCAGCAGTGGAATCTAGTATAGTTGGGAGCCAATCCGGGTAGAAACTGTTTTACAACAAGGCATATACATTGGAGAAAAATCATCTTGAGTTACAGGGCAATTGCTATAGTCTCCCGTCTCAGTAGACCCTCTCTACCTGGGCAAGAAGAGGCAAAATGTTCTGCCTTGCCACAGTAGAGGACAAAACCTTTCCTGCCTGTGATAGTCTTTTCCAGAGACAGTCAACCAAAGATCAAGTTATGCCCCAATACCTGGATCTTTCAGAAGAAGGTGGTCCGGTGTGTGCGAGTTCTAAGCTGTCATGTCAGAACCAACTTATAGCGACCCTAATTGGGCTTTAAAGTGAAATACAGTACCTAAGGAGTGTTTTTACCAGTTCCACTCCCCCCAGTGAGTTTCCATCCACTGACCAGTGGATCAAACTACAGTAAATTCAAACCCTCTTTGCCAGAGACCTGGTGTGTTGCTCTATCCACCACACCACATTGGGAATCTCTAATAATTATGTGTCAAGTCAATTCTGACATTTGGTGACATTTCAAGGTCTTCTAGGTACAGAGTACTCAGAAGTGATTAATCATTCCCTTTCTCTGGGGGTCTTCCTGGGAGTGTACAGTTGACCCAAGGCCATGTAATCTGGTTCTCTTTGCAAGCGACACAGTGAGGAATCAAACTCCCAAACTCTGACTCTGAAGCAAGAGACTTAAACCTGTGAGCTATCCAAAACTTCAACTTTCTAAAAAGGGAACAAGAAGATTATATTCTCAAGAACATCTTTGTTTCTGTCATAGAAACACACCTGTGGGATGAATCACATATTTAGTGATAAAGCAGAGAAACGGCACTAGTTCATCAATCTACATAAGCCCTACATGCTGTATTTTCATCCATTTTATCAGACATTAAATAGGTATCCTACTGTTCTTAAAAGGGGAGGATGAGATTTCAGGGTTAGTTAAAAAAACCAACAACTATGTTCAGCTACCAATTTGTAGTTTCACAAATGTCCCTTTCTATTTGTATGTTCTTTTTACTGCCTTAAACGGAATTGTATCCTTAAAAGTGGAAATAAATAGTCCTGACAAGGTTAGTAATAATCAACAATGTCAATCTGCATGGAGGCAACATGTCATGAGGAAGCGAACGGGAGTCCCATGAAAATTTATGCCCAAGGCTTGTTAAAGTGACAAAGACTCTTTTTTATTATTTTTGGACCAACCGCCAAACAAAAGCGCTTCCTGGAATAACAATAGTGTTGACGATTGCTAAATATTTGATGTACTATACGTCTGTCTACACAAATTTTCAGAGAACAGGCCGTGTTAAGTCCTGTTTCAGCATGTGTAGGAAAAGAACTGTGGCAAGAACATGTATTTCATATACAGTAGTCGTGTGTAGGAAAAGAACTGTGGCAAGAACATATTTCATATACAGTAGTCGATTTCAAGGACACTGAAGTAAATCTTCAAGGTGCCACAGGAAGACGAAACGTTTCCTTAACGGGTGAAGGAGACGGGAGGACGAAGAAGAGGCTCGGCTAAATATTTTATGTATACGTATGTGGAAAAGATCAAGGGAAAGCTCCTTCCCTGTTTCGTGGGAAGCGCCTGAGGGAGAAGGATTTCTGCTCACGCCTCCTCAGAGGAGCTCCGAGAGGGGACGAAAGGCGAGGAGGAAGCTGGCGGAGCAGCCCTTTCATTTATTTATTTATTTGTTTGTTTAGGCTCTGCTCCTGCTTTTGGCCTGAGGCGGGAAGGAGCGGCGAGTTTCCCCGCCCGGCCGAGTCAGGCTCTCTCCTCAGGCGCGGCCTCGGCCTCAAGGAAGCGACAGGCGAGAGACCGCGCGCGCCAAGGAGCTCCGCCGCCACCGCCACCGCCGCGAGAATGAGCCGGGAAAGGCCCCTTCTGGCCTCGGTA